CGCAAAGACCACAATTTTTAAAAAATCAGCGTTGTTACGGTAGCGATACAAGGGACAAATAGTACATAACAGGCTTCTATATTATAGTATCTGTCTGCAGTTTCGTTGAATGGGAAGTATCAAGAAACTTCTTATAAGTTTCCGATGCTTATACTTCTACGATAATCATTAGAATAGCTACATTGAGCTACAGATGCATAAGGGAGGAAAAAGACAGAGGAAAGCGAAAAAAATGATAATTCAAAGTTATAAGTGTAAAAGAGTTCTTCGAATTTTAAAGAGTTTCAAATTTGCGACTCATACACATGTCACAATTGTTCATATGAACTAAGCAATAACAGAAATTTCTTAATAAAGACTTTAGCATACATAGTGACGTAGCCATGACATATATAGGATGAGCCACTACCACATCTACCAGAAACTCTAAGGGGATTTTCGTATTGCTGACGGGTAAATGATGCAGAAGCAATGATGCCTCTACCCTCTTATTAAAATTTTATTTACAGTTGAAGGCGTCGCAAGAAAAAGCTACCTAAACTCGGGGAAGATTTCGGGTTTAGAATGGAGACCATCCGGATGCGCTAATTATATATCGCGTATACTATCGGTCTTTACAATCTTCTAAAGTCATTGAAGCAAAATGATGAAAGGATTATTATGTTGACGATAGAACTGAGAGGAAACTAAAGCGCAACCAAGGATAAACGACGACATATATGGATAAGCCAACTACTCATTCGTTGCGATTCGATTTCGACTACACATTGGACAAAAGCGAATCATTCAACATAGGGCGGTAAGCATTCATTCATTCAGATTAGCATAGCACATCAAGCACCTTCTTTTGTAGAGCTTCTCCTGGGTAGAGAAAAGTACTGACGGCGGCTGTGATGTTGATGGTCAATCGCTTTTGGATCCTCTGATAGGGTTGTAAATCGTACACGAAATTTTTCTGCTTCTAAATAAAGAAGCAAAGCAATTAACTCTTATTAGGCTACAAATAAGGGAACGGGGGTGGAGTTAGTTTTGCAGTTATTGCTAGTATTACGGTGTAATTCATAACCATTCAAGTGATAACATGGAAGAGCATTAACACGGCTTGGGTTACGGTAGGACACAGTAATTCAAAAGTTAGAAGCAAAGGTTGGATCGATAGCCTAAAATTCTTCATCATCATGCAATATGCGTCCGAAA